ATCTATTTCAAAGCTAAGTGGTTAATGGAGTTTTCTAAAACGTCAACAAAAGAGGCAACATTTTTCTGCTTCGAAAATAAGGAGAAGAAGGTAATAAAAGTTTGCATACAGTTTTCAATCCCAAAAAAATTCTCCTCCCTGCAGAATTGGAAAGCAGATTTGAAATTAGCGCTTCAAGTTCCATCTGCCAGTATATCTTTCTTTTTAATTCGCCACGTCGACTTATTCTTCACTTGTTAAAAATTCTTGGAGTGGCACAAGCTTAAATGTTGACGGTAGAAGTTTAGCAGCGAGCACTTTTTGATGTTCTTTTAGAGCGTTAGAATTTCTGCCAATCTTCCTATTTAAGTTGCAAATGAAGTTTGCTCTTGCAACTTTCAAGTTTCTAGAAATGGATCCCCATACGTGCAACCGCGAAATCTTTCAAATCAGAGATAGTTAGGTGAGATGATCTTGGAACCAGCTTTGTTGGATTGTGTTGGAGCTAGAACTACATTATCTGCATTACCACTAGCTCTTCATCAGCCACAGCGTACCATAAATTGCATAGACTAGTTTCTTATAGAGTTGGAAAAGCGCTAATTTTGAGAAATTTGAGGAAGCACGTCAATTTTGCGGCAATGAGCTTGCTAAAGATTTATATAAAGCAGAAACATTTATAATTATTATCAGTAAACCTATTTACCTCAAACTCTGTCTACATATTCCAATCTGAACAACATAAAACTAACTATAATCTATCGTGCTTAGTGCGCCCAAATATGACTCGTGTGATGAAGGCCCCCTTACACTTCCACATTATAGAGTGCCATACGCAGTCTAAGAGTTTTTCCAGAGAGTTTGTTCTACCTGCAGAAGTTCGCCTGAAGAAATCACATCGCTTCCAGCTCACATTAATTTGATCGCTCATTTTTAACCTTAAAAATTATACTATACAGAGAATTTTCTTGTGAAATGTTATTGGTAAAGTGAATAAAACAACAACCAATACAGTCCAGGATTTTCCCACTTATCAGAGATATATTGGTTTTCCTGCGTTTTTTCCTTATTAGCGACCTTTAGATAGATTTTATGAATGAGTACGGGAAGAACCGTTTGTATGCGGAAAACGAAGACATGCAAATTCTCACGCTTCCCTACAAGGATTCTACCTACGCATTCAATATACTTCTCCCGAAAAAACGGTAATGATCGTACAACAACATTGACTCAATCC